CAAACACGAATTTCTTAACTCTTGAGAGAGGTATTTTGTGCGAATGGAGACCTAACGTTTTGTCAACACTTATTGCTACGAGCAGCCAGCAATGCATACTACGAGACCGTCACAAACTGTGCTTCTCCTTACAATGTAAAGCATTTATCTCTTACCATGCCAAATGACCTTTAACTCTACCAACAATCTTCTTCTATCACCAGGCAGTTTGTTCACAGATTCACCCTTTCCGTTTAAAATATCCACTTTCATGGCACCTGATTAAGAAATGGAAAATACACCGTTTAAGTTGCCACTAAGTTTCTGAGATGGCAGTGAAGCCACCAGGGCTCACAGCGAGCTATATTCCTCGAAAAGTGATAGAGTGAAACAAGTATCAACCCGTTCACACCTACACGTACCCCCGAAGAGAATAATGAAGTTTTGTACAGCAGTTCTAACTTCTGGGACTGTTGACGGAATCCACTGAAGTGGTTCGACGTTTGGCCTAGGCCTAACTAACACAGAGAGAAAGTTAAAGAAGAGGAAGACTAACATTATGCAAACCAATTGACGTACGTAGAAACATAAGGAAAGCGAGACGCCACAACATCGTCCAAAGGAGCTAGTATACATAGGAAATTTAAAAGACAAGACGAACGGCAGTGTTGCAATCAACTTTGCGAAAAAGAAAAAAAATACACAAACAAACCAAACCAAACAACAACAACAGCAAGTATTACTTTGGGAAGAGGGCAAAACTGCTTCAGTCCTGCTTGTCAAAACAATGCAGTGATACATTCAACATGTTCAAGACAGTTAAGACATTGTATCCTGTTTTATTGATCCGCCTCCCCTCCCCACCCCACACAACCCCACCCCTTATTTTTTTCCGACCGAATTTTTCCCCTAATTTTATTCCAAATATTGGTCGCCAAAAAGCAACTCTCTTAAATAAAAAAAAAAGGCTGAGACCACATAAATAAGCATATAATATACTGCCAAGAATAAATTAATCACTCATTGTTGTAGCCTGAATTGCAGCCGGACATGCTAGTCGACACCTAGACTTAAAAACGTGATATAGTGTATATCAGGGATCTCGACGCAGGCTATCGTTGGGGAAGTTAGCGGTTCTAATTACTTTAGGACTGAGAAAAATTAATGATTTAGGACATTTCAAACCTGACCTACGTATATTAATTTTCAATCGCCTTTTCCTAACCGTTGAACTGAACTCAGAGTGAGTCCGACACTGCAGATCGTTTATTTTTTCTCTCTCAGCTTTAATTTTCAAATCGAAACTGCGTAGCAACCAAGAAAATTGTCTAATACAACAGAGTTTATCGTTTATCGAGAAGTACACACCTATGGTGGTTCCTGCTGGGATTTTCGAGTTAGGATCCAGCTTGTCATCCTCAGGCCATTCTATAACCAGTTTACTTGGCAACCTGAAAGGACAGTTTTACAGTCTCAAAGTGTAGAGTGGGGCAATTGATCCAACAAGGACAACATAACATAGGCAGAGAATTCATTCTTCTCACCCTTAGCTGGAGCTTAAACGTATCAAAAGAGAAGAGTCACTTTTAATCTGAGAACTCTCCTGACCTCTCCCTACTAGAGCGTGTTGGACGATCCAAACTCATTTAGACGAACGTAACTAAACCAGACGTCGAAATTTAAACGTTTGGCCTAGGCCTGCGATTGATAGAAACAACAAGTAACAAAAGGTGTGTTCTGCTTTACCATGGCAGTCAATTTATCAGTTGCTACTATAGTATAAGTCTTCACTTTGTGAGGAGACGCTAACTTCCGCTGACCTTAAGGTCATGTTTCACACAGCAATTATAAGTCTCGTTTATCCTGTCAAACCGGATGTTTTTGGGAAGGTTTTCGGAAGGGATAATAGCCAATCAGAAAATACCTACCGTATTCGTAAAAGTAGGTGAAGTCACCGGACGGCATTATAACGCTCGGAATTCAGACTTCTCTGCTATCCCCCGCGCCCCCCACGGGTTAGGGGTGGAGAAGTATAACATTTCAGACTAGTCAATTTACAGCGCCAAAACCATGAAAACCATTTGCTTAAAGTCTGTTAATAATTGCTTTATTCGATTAATTGCTAGAAAGATCAGTATGGTAAAATTATTGTTTTAAAGGTAACTGTTATAAGAATGAAACCATTCGTTAGAGCTAGTTATCAGCTTACTTTGCTTCTTCTTCCTCCACGAACTTTTTAATCGTAGAAAGGCTAAGTGAGCGATCCAGCTTGGCCAGGGAGAAGAATTTTGTGTCTCCATACAAAGAGACTGGCTCCTAGCATAGAAATTTCAACAAGGAACAAGCTTAAACATGTAAATATCACTGTTATTGGCATTTTAATTGTTGACGGTAAGGGACAACTTTGTGCAGGGTGAAGAGATCTTTCAAACCATACTAGATAAGCACGATTCAGTAAAGGAGACTGGGGAAAAGGCAAAAAACCAGTAAAGCTGACGCGAAAATTCCCATGAAATTCTTCTTCCACTACCCACCTACCTTTCCTTTCATCCTAAAAGCTTTCCCAAAAACTTTTCCCGACAAAATGAATCCTGCTACAGTTGTAAATGCCCGGCAAAAGAAAAAACGAAGCAAGAAGAACGAAAGAAGTGGAGAGGAGAGAAAGTGAAAAGAAATAGTCAGGACTCCTGTGTCACTATTAAACCCATCGGAACTTTGCTTCCTGCGTATGCCCAAAATAATAAGAAGGCCGCTAAGTGCAGGACCTGTAAAGGGCTTTGTGGCATGTTTTATAATCTCTTAACAGCCAGACAGTGACCAGAAAACGGCTCGACTAGCTTTAAAACGCGTTTTTCAGCAAAATTCCCAGGGGTGAATAGGTAAATAAGTGCACCACAACTTTGGACTGACTACAGTAGCTATTTCCAAAGTGAAAAAAACGCAACCTTTATAGAAACAAACTGGGGAGAGTTGGTTTCTCAACAACAATGACAACGTTTCATTTTCCGGTACCTGTACCTAGTATTGATACTAACTAATATTATCATTAGATGAGTATCTAGAACATCCCACGGTCCTTAGACTTGCTGCGAGTCAACCTCACGAGTTTCTTAGTGAGCAGAGCGTACTTATAGGCCGAGAAGCGGGCAAGCGAGCGACAATTAGCTAAATGCTCCAAGCCATTGAGGAGATAGATAATAGTGAGTACAATGTGTGATGAATTAAGCTATATTTTAGAAAATAATATGAAAGAGCTGTCAAGATATTAACAAGAAGGAGTTGCACAAGAACTGCTCAAATTAGAGTCTAGAAAATCACTTATAAAAACCTTTAGGTACAAAATCCATACAGAATTAAGAGAAAATGTTGTGAGAATTAATAATAAAAATGATCACCTGATGGGAAAAGCTTTGATCTACAAACAAATTATCTTAACCAATTCTTTAGGGAAATGTATGGAGATCAGTCTGGAGAACTGGTATTTGAATATTGGGGCTTAAAGAGTTTAACAGTCGTAACAGCATTGTCTATTATACATGGGCATGAAGTGAAGTGGTCTGTAGTAATGCGACCGTGAAACAGATTATCTGAACTATTTCCATCTCTCCTCCAGTGCAAAGACATCTCCGTCATGGTCACCGAAAAGAACAAATCTTTTTACTGTTCCACAAATTAATGGCAAGGTCCTTTGCGTCCTTATCTAAAATGGAATCAAGTCATATAAGTTATTCAACTATAATTAAGGTCATTGAATAGAGGAGAATTCTTCACACAGTGGCAATACGGTGACCATAAAACAGCGAGCTTCAAAAGGCGTTTTCCAGCAAAATAACCTGGAGTGGGTGAATGGGTGAATTTACTACATGTATCCTACATCATTATTGTAACTGCATGGCACATAGAAAGAACATCATACTCTTAAGAAGCTTGCATGGTATAATACTACCGTAAATCCTCTATTAAGCCACCCCCTCAAATAAGCCCCCTCCCTCTAATAAGCTCCCCCTTTTCAAGGGAAGAAAGTTAATAAGCCCCCCTCTCTATTAAGCCCCCCTCCCTTATTTATTCTTCACTAATAAATGATAGACTGTATCGATCAACCACGACTGTAAAACATCGTGTGGACTGATCCAGGATGGTTTATTTACCAACTGGAAGATTGGATTTGATTCTGATCCTCAGCTGCATGACCTAAAACTTCCTACCAAAAAGCAATTCTACCCCACCAAAATACAGAATTTTTACGTCATTTTTAAACCAATTAAAAACAACATGGCCGTCCTCACTTGGTATCACATCCAATATAGTAAATATTTTGTACAAAAATAACTACGTCTGCTACTTTTTTGAAGCTCCCAACATTTCTCTGGCGGTTTTCGTTTTTTTAAAAGCAGACTCCTTTGCAGCGTCAGCTTATACAGACAATGTCCGTTCTCTGCTTATGGTCATTCGGAAAGTCTGTGTGATTTACGTTCTGTTAGTTATGTGATTTTTTCTTTCTTTACCTTATTTGGCAATAGATTTGCCCAAATTTTCAGGCAAATTAAGAAACTAAGCAATATAAATTTTATAGCGTCAAGGCGGCATATTAATAGCGCCTCACTTCGGGCAGATGGCGTCGCTCAAAAACGCCTCCGTTTAAGCTCCCTATTCTGACGTGAGACACCCCTGATTGACCCCTTAAGGCATTTATAGTCGGGAGAATTTGTTTAAAGATCAAAGCATTTGGGGGACTGAGACTGAGCATGACTGAGTAAGGACGTGTGATTGTTCGGCTCCGTAACTTTTGTTGTACTCTTCCATGCGTTCTGATATTTTTTATGGAATTTTCATCGCCACTTTCATCTCTGTTTAAACGGAAAACGAGAGGGAGTAATTCACCGACCAGCGAGACCATTTCCCCCGAAACGAAGCGGTTGAAAGAGAGTGTGAAAGAAGACCAAGCGAACGCTCCACCCGCCATTGTATCGCCACCAAAGTCGAAGAACTATTCTGAAGACGTAGTTCTGTCTGCCCTCAATATGGCACAAGATTTCGCCTCCAAAGTGGACCTAATATTATCAAAGTTAAGTCAACTGGAAAATATCGGCACACAAATAAATGTTTTACAGGACTCTGTGGATCGAATAAATCAAACGGTCGCAAACCTTCAAAGCGAATTCCACCGCTTAAAGGAAGACGTACGAAATACAGTCGAAGAAACAAATACGCTTAAAACAAGCGTAAAATTCCTGAATGATGAAGTGGAAACCAGTAAGAGAAAACTCCGAGATGACGAAGAGAAGTCACGACAGGAGTTGGATCACTTGCGTCTCCAACTCTTAAATTATGAAGTGTACAGCCGCCGCGAAAATCTTCGTTTCTACGGCATTCCAGAAATCGAAGGGGAAGAGAATACTGAACCCGTTTTGAAAGCTTTCTTGGAGAAAGAGGTAAATGCGGAAAACGCCCAATCTATAAGAAAAAAAGCTGCATACGAAAACTTATTCGAGCAAATGGAGAAGAGACTACTGTTCCGGACACTATTATGACTGAAATTCACAGTTTTTATTCTGAACTTTATGACGAAAAGTCGGGAATACAAACTGACTATTCGATTTGTCCTTTTCTGGAAGATACCCTCTCATCTCCTAAGTTAACCGACTCAATGCGGGAAACGTGCGAGGGTCAATTAACATATTCCGAATGTTTCAAGGTTCTGTCTACCTTTAGTAACGATAAAACTCCTGGAAACGATGGGCTCACTATAGAATTTTACAAGTTCTTCTGGTCAGAAATCGGAACATTTCTAGTGGACTCATTAAATTATGCGTATTTTCATGGTGAATTATCACATTCGCAAAAGCAAGCCGTAATAACTTTAATTGAGAAAAAGGACAAAGATAGGAGATGGATAAAAAACTGGAGACCGATTTCTCTGGTAAATGTTGATGTTAAAATTGGCTCAAAAGCTATCGCTAAAAGGCTAGAAAATGTCCTACCACATATTATCCATTATGACCAGAATGCCTTTGTAAAAGGACGAACAATTTTTGATGCAACTCGTACGATAACCGATGTGTTGGAATTTACTAAAATGCGAGACTACCAAGGTATAATGACTGCAATTGATTTTGAGAAAGCCTTCGATTCTCTAAATTGGAACTTCCTCCACAAATCGCTAGAGTTCTTTGGCTTTGGAGAACCCTTCTTGGGGTGGATCAAGACGTTTTATAATAATATATCAAGTTGTGTTTTCAGTAATGGTTTTTCCACCCCCTCTTTCAATGTTAAACGGGGTGTTCGCCAGGGCGACCCACTCTCGCCATGTCTTTTCATAATAGTACTTGAATTATTGGCATTATCCATACGTAATAACGATCAAATTAAGGGTATTGAGGTGGATGGTTCCGAAATCAAATTAGTTATATTCGCTGATGATATGACATCATTTGTTAGGGACAAATTTTCGCATCGCACCCTTTTTGATACTATCGATCTGTTCAGTACATACTCCGGATTGAAGGTCAATCACGACAAAATGGAAATTCTTCTACTAGGAAATATGGAAGTAAACAGCTCAGAACTAGGTGTTAATGAAATAAGTAAGGCCATAAAGATCCTAGCGGTTCATTTCACCTTTAATCACGCACTGTTTTATAAGCTTAACTTTGAATCAATCGAGAAATCTCTGAGGGGATTGCTGAAGGGCTGGAGCTGGAGAGGTCTTACACTCCTTGGAAAAATTCAAGTGATCAAGGCTTTCGCCATACCAAAGATTTTATACAGGGTTGTTCTCATTTCAAATAAAGAAGAGTTTATCAAAAAAATAAATACTTTGCTATATTCCTTTGTTTGGAAGGGAAAAGATAAAGTAAAGCGCAGAGCTTTTATTAACCCTATTGATAAAGGAGGCTTGAAAATGCCCAACATTGAGTCAATGATCTCTGCCCAAAGAATAATTTGTATTAAGAGATATCTCTCCATTGATCCCGCTGGCTGAAAGTTTTTTCTGGATTTTTATCTTAAGAAAGTAGGGGGAAAATTCTTGTTTCATTGCAATTTTAACTACACTAAACTACCGGTAACTCTTCCAGAATTTTACAAAGAATGCATTGTGGCGTGGACCCTTTTAAATGAAGACAACCCCTCCTCATCCTCTGAAATAGCAAATCAGGTCATATGGAACAACCAGTTCATTTGCATTGAATCAAAGTCAGTCTATAACAGTAGGCTGATTGATCTTGGAATTGTAAAAATTGGAGACCTCTACGACACGTGAGGAGGTTTCAAGTCGAACAAGGAACCATTATATTCAACTCTCTCACCAGTTGAACATTTTCTACTTTTCAGTCTCTTCAATGCTTTTCCTGAAGAATGGCGCAAAATATTAAAAACAAATAAAAACTCTATCTCTTCAAAAACTCATGATCTAATCCAAACTGATTTCAAGTTACGTATTGAAGGGAAAAAAGTCAATCTCCAAAATCTTAAATCAAAGTCATTATATGACAGTTTTGTTTCTAAGATATCCAGTATACCAACAGCGCAAAAGAAATATAACGAAGCTTTCAGCACACACACATTTCAGTTGGACTGGGAAAAGATACATCTACTGCCCTTCAAAACAACATTGGATACTAAATTAAGAGAATTCCAATATAAAATATTAAACAGGATCTTATACACGAACAAGATGCTGTTTAAGTTCAAAAAAGTAGATTCTCCCTTGTGCGATTTTTGTGAAAAGGAGTTGGAGACCATAGAACATCTCTTTTTCCATTGTACAAAAGTAAGCATGTTTTGGAATGATTTAAAGTTTGTACTTGATTCTTTTAATATAACTATTAGGTTTGATATCATGAATGTCCTTTTTGGGATCTTAGATACAGATAATATAAGCATTCTAGTCAATTACATCATTCTTGAAAGCAAATATTTTATTTACCGCTGTAAGTTAAATAAGGGCTGTTTATGTGTAAGACTGTTAGTCGATAAATTTAAAAAAACGTTTCAAACCGAACGTTTTATCGCGAAAAGAAACAACAAAATCCATTTCCATGATAAAAAATGGAAGCCGTTACTCCCATTAATACAACAGTAGCTGTTATCCAAACTTCGTTTTTCTAATACTCCCTGTTTTACTCTGTATTTTAAGTTCAAGTCGAATAAGTTATGTAAGCCTTGTAGTGTAGTGTAGTGCAGTGTAGCTTTTTATTTATTTATTCTATTTTCTTTTTTTTTGTTTGTAATTAAGGTAGTTGTTGTAAATTTTGTAATGTTTGTATGTTTCGATCTCTATGTTGTTTGTACTATACCTGTAAAAAGAAAATAAATAAATAAAATACAAAAAAAAAATCAAAGCATTTTCTCTTAATTTGGCTGATCATTTCATTGATTCTCATTGCTTTTTTCTTTTGCTTTTAAATGATATTGTTCGAAGAAAATTAGCCTGCTAGCAAGCTCTCTTAGGTGCTCTGGCGGCGGGGCGAAAGGAGAAAACTGACAATAGAGATTTAAAGGTTTACGGAGTGTCGCCCATCTTTGAACTTAAATTTCTTGAGCCTGTTCTTCAATACTCACCTGCATAGCAGAGTTGAGGGGACTTGGGGCGCGCGACCGAGTAATTCCTTAGATGCTTTTATTTGTCGTTGCCTTGGCTGTATAATGTCGCGATCAGAAAGGGGATGAGTTGCACTCATATGCGGTGGCTGATTACCGCTAATTATATTAACCACCTGATTCTGCCAGTTAAATATAGGCTAGACTTGCCACAAGTCGACCTCACGAGTTTCTAAACGAGCGACGAAGTCGTCAGAGGTCTCGGACGAAGGACTTTATGGAAAGTTCACGTATAGGTACCCTACGAGCAGAGGTGTCTCTCTTGCTTGGCTTTTAGCGTGTACGAAGTCGCCGGTTCGCGTGGCTTGTCTGCCGTGTGGTTAGTTCCTTTACGCCCCGTGAGACGTAAACAAACTAACTACTTTGTAAACGCTAAAAGCCGTGCAAGAGAGTGACCTCTGCTCGCAGGGTACCTATAGGTTACCTAAATACTTACTTGAGTGTCAGGTTTCTAACCTAAACGAATGTGCCTAAGACTTTTTGAGTATAATGTCGACCTCTGGAAATGAGGTCTCCGTCGTTAAGTCAAGAAATGTCTTACATTTGTACAATAGAATCGTTATTTTCCCTTTTCTGCAGACTGATGAACTTCACAATATGCAGGATGTTCCTGTTGACCGAAAGGGAAGAGAAAAACAAAGACCGTGAGTATCACTCAAAAAAATATTGTTTCCCTATTTTAAAATAACTTGGGAGGCAGAAGTAATAATTGCCTGCATAGAGCATACTTTGTGTTTAACATTATTTGTGCTTAAAAAGTTGTGTGCTCAAAAATTATATCAGTAAGGATGTGTTGCAGTATATTGTTTATTTCTATTTTTCATTTTTTCAGGGAAGATGTTTCAGCTAAGCATCATAGAAGAAACACATCAAATGACATCTCAAGGTAATTATAAGTTGAATGATGTTCTCAGCACTGACATTCTAGAATCAGGTCTCCCTCTGTTTGTTCAAGTCCTGTAGATTTTCAACTATTTGTTTTTTCTGCTTAGAAACCAGCCTGTCACCAGTACATTGAAGAATCAGAAGGTAATAATTATTATTGAACAGTAGATGAACAGTCGAACCTCCACTTGGAGGTTACAGCAATTGCACCAAAGTCATTAACCACTTTTTTTTTTACATTAAAGGCTAAAAGTAGCGATCTGGTGTTTGAAGATATTGACGACGACCTAGATCAAGAACTTGGTCACTTAACCTTAGGTATGGTAGATCTATACGTGTAAATATGATGGCCTGGAAGCTGTTTGATCCGACTGTAAATCGATTCGCCTCGGGAACCCGCTGGATAAACCTCGATTTGTCCATTGTCAGTGTAAGACCTATTAAGATCAATAAAAGGAGGGTTTATTAACTCCAAAATACTCTAGCTAACACATTGAATCGTGTGAAGCTGCTGGTAACACCATACGGTCAAATCCCGCTTTACGGACACCTTTTTGATTAGGACGCCTTATTATTGCGAATAGTTTGCTTTGTCCCTGGCCTGGGGAAATAGAGCCCTTACATTTTCTCTAACTTCAACCCACTTTATACGGACACCCCGTTAATACGGACACTTTCTCGGTATCCGTGTTAATTGGGTTTGACTGTACACAGAAACAAATAAATCGTTAAGATCTCCCACCAAGAAATGGACCGGTAAACGAAAACAAACAAGCAAACAAATCACTCCGTATGTGGACCTAGCGCTTGCGTTTGGGGCGGGGCTTGAACTTGCAAATCCAATTCCAGGGCTCTAACCAGCCTCTTACCCAGACCAGTTCGCGCTATCCGAGTTACCAGAGGAGGCTTGTAACCGAGCGCGATAGCGGGAGGCGTCCTCGGCGAATTTTCCCGACAAGCTTGACAGTTGACG